CAGACCACAAGGACCAAATGATCCCATTCCAATTATTAGACAAGAACAAGAAGTAAACTTTGATGGATCCTATAAGTACTCTTATGAAACTGGTAATGGTATCATAGCTGAAGAGGAAGGCTATCTTAAAAATGCCGGCACCGATGCAGAAGGACAGGTACGGATTAATTAAAATGACACATAAACTGAAAATAAATTTAACCGTAAAAAAAAGTATTAAGCCTTACTTCATAAGCAATAAAATCAATTGGCAATAAAAATGCCAAACAGATGTGGGCGTGTGCCATGATTGCACCAAGCGTGGCATTTGAAGCTGTGAAGAATTCCGTCATTGCTGCTGCCTATGACATTTGGCGAGACGGAAGCAAAAATAACAAGCAACACAAGCGTTCAAGAAATTTCAAAAGAAGCGCTAATGCAATTAGGCTAGTCACGCTGAACTCTGTGCACCCCAAGCGATTGATTTCTGCTTTAAATTGATAAAACGACCGAGGAAATTTTGCAATTACCATGAATTTGCAGTTAAAGGTTCAAAGTTTGATGGCATTTGCAAATTTGTAGTAATAAATAATTCGCTAGAAGACTCACGATTATTCTTTTTAATTAGCAGCAACAAAAAGTAATTTAATATTAAAAAAAAAAAAATTTTAATTTATTTTACAGCTTGCACAAGGCTTCTTCTCATATACCTCACCTGAAGGCATACCAATACGTTTAACATATTTATCAGATGATGGTGGATTCCAACCACAAGGTGATCATTTGCCCACACCACCTCCAATTCCACCAGCAATACAAAAAGCTTTAGCTTACTTGGCCACTGCTCCACCACCGCAAGATCAACCACGTCCCTTTGGTGGACAAAGAGGTTAAAACTACTTGAATTAATTTCCATAAAAATGCAAAGTTAATGGAGAAATAATATGAGAGGGATCGAAAGCGAGGGAGCTGAGAACACACACAAAATTTTCGAAGTACGAATAAACACCTATGCTGCCACTATGAATTTTTTTTTCAGTGATATAGAACTATAAACTACATAATTTTAATATATTATTTTTAGGAAATAAAAATTTATATATATAAAATTATTAACAATATAAAAACAACAAAAAAATTTTAAAAAAATGTATAATAAAATATAAAATGAAAAAAATAATTTTGTTATTTCAATAACTTCATATTCCCACACTATAAGACATATATGAAAAAATAGTAATCGTTAAAGAAGTTAATATAGTATGTACAAGTATTAAGCAGATTATAAAATATCTATGAGATCTATCTATGAGTTTTTAATAAGGCGCAACGAGAGTTATTTAGCAATCTGGAAATCGATTCGTGTGTAATTCCCAAAAATTTAAACCCACTTATATACATTTATGAATTATGTGTTTATTCAAAATACAAAAAAATCAATTATTATAATGTTATAGAGCAAGATACCCATAGATACCCTACCTTATCGTATAGGGGAATAGTTAAACTCTTGTGCCATTGCCCCCGTTTGTGCTACAATTTTAAAACAATATCCAACAAAATATAGAGATAGATTAATATTGTATGTTAAAAATTTTTAAAAATTATTAAAATATATTTTGTGAGAGGCGCTCACTTTCAAAGTTCTCCTTTTGCATCAAAAATAGTATTAGATTGAAGCTTCAGCTATTGACGTTTCGGACTATCTAGCGAAGATGATTTGGCGATGTTTGAAATAGCTGTATGTTTAGTCAAAAAAATTCAATTAATTAAAAATAATAAAATATTATTACTAATTACTATTATTAATCTGATCAACAAAGAGATATTCTTCTTGTGTCAATAACAAGGGTTAGTGTGTACTAGAAACTACCTGTTTGTCGAGAAAGAAAAAACAACAAAAGAAGTCGGATTATTGACTAAAACTACTCACACGGAGTAGGGCTTTCTTGTACGATTTCTTACTAAAATATCAAAATGATATCATTGTTGAACATATTACGTTATGAAGAGACGCTTTTTCTTTTGAATAACATGGAATAGTACATACAAGAAAAATTTTTCAAATAGAGATAACATGTAATGATACAATAAAATGACAATTCTGTGTCCTGAATCCGAAAATCCTCTGTGGAATCACCATAGTGCAATTCAACTGTAACTACCAATTTTTATACTGAAGTATAATCTGTACTCAGCAATTGGTGATTGAAAAGTAGAAATTAACAGTTTTTAAAAATATTCAACTTAAGCAGATAGTCCGATTTCTTAATATATTAACAACCAGATAAAGTTTACATTGGACACAATTGAAGCATCTATGATCGCAATTTACAACGGTTTTTATATGTATCCATATAAATGGATAGATAGATTAATAGATAAATAGATCTAAATTTTATTTTTGGAATAATAATACTAAATGTATCTAATTGAAAACCTAGAACTTTAACTATGATGTCAGTTGAATTATGAAGATAAGTATGTGAATATCAAATTCACTAAAAAGAAAATTTATTTTATATACTTTAATTTTATCGATTAAAAATTATATAAAATAACACATAAAATTTTCTGTTTCTTAGTGTCCGTTTCCCTTTGTGAGGCATTGGGCCTAATGGGGCAACCCATAAAATTGAAGACTTGAAAGACCTAATTTTTGCACAAAATCATTTATTTTTATTTATTATTTTTTCAATATTTAATTTTAATATTGTATTCTTTTATTGTTGTATTCTTGTTATTAATATTTATTATTAATATTTTTTATTAATAATTTTTTTATAAAATAAAATTAATTTTGTATCTCTAAGAATATTTTAGATTATCAATAATGTTTCCTAATGAAATGTTTATTTTATGGTAACTTTAGATAATATTTACTATTTAAAAAAATTTTTGAAATAAAATTGTGCCTAAATAGTTGTAAGATTATTTTTGTTGGTTATGTAGAGTTAATGATATTGACTTTAAGTTCGCAGTGATGCAATGAAATTACACATCATTTAATGGCAATGAACTATTTCTGTAAAATGATTGACAAATTAACTAAGAAATTCGCTCTAATATTTGTTAAAATAAAAACAACAAGAAAAATACATTAAACAGCAAATATTGAAGCGCTTTTTTGTTTAAACAATATCGCGTTGTGATATCCACTAATTGATGATCATACAAAATGCCTACAATTTGCAGTAGAAGTACAGTGAAAACTTGTTTAAATAACTATTAACAGTTTCATTAATTTAACCTTTCACGTACTTACATTTAAATTCAGTGCAGAATTTAGCTGGAATATTCATTAGCTATTGCTCTGTGAATGAAGATGGGAAAGAAATTATACTCCACCTCATGTGTGAGTTCAGATTGGCCTGCAAAGCTGTCGTTCTTTAAAATTGGAGACAACTCCAAACTTCAGTCAACTTCTTCAACTCATGTGTGACTGCACATCATTAGCTAAGAGAACATTCAAAATCATTGGGTTTCTTTTCCTAACTGGCCTGCAAAGCTGTCGGTGTTTAAAATTGGGGGCATAGATAAGCTCATAGAGTTGTCAAGTTGTGACTCCTTCTTTTAGGTGGTTCCTTAGGTCCGGTGTTTGGATGGTGTATAATTCAAGATATCATAACGGAATATTATTTCTGTCTAAATAAGCTTTGATGCACAAGACTTACACTCAAATTTAACTAAACCTTATCTTTCTGGAAAAAAATTCAAAAATTAGCAAACAGCCAAAATTTAATTTGTAAGTATTTGAGTGCGATAAAGTTATGTTAGCGTTTGAATTTTCTTCTAATCCAAACAATTTTCACAGTTAAATTGAACGATGGTCTTCAACACCTTCAGCGATTCTTCTTTTAATGCTTCAATCGTCTCAGAACATCTTACTGGAAGTGATTATTTCAGAATAGAGCACAGAAACAAGACAGACAGATTTTTATCAGGTCAACACGATGCTTTGTCAATCACATTGGTTGAGTTTTTCACATTATATATTCCGTCTACTTTACATACTATATATATATATATATGTACTAACAAGTATACTGATTATACGTAGCGGTATGATATATGAATATGAGCACAGTTAATATTTTTAAGATACTTATATGTTCCGATGAATGATTTTTCTAACGGAAAATAAAAATAGAAATATTTTAAATGGTTTGATAATGCAAAATCTATATAAATTTTAATTGAAATAATCGTAAACACATAAATTTTGTTTGAATGAATTAGCACCAGCAGTAGCTATTAATAATTAATTTTTTTAATATTAATTTACGCAAGTAATTAATTGATTTTAAGTATAAAATATTATGACTTTAACTTGGTGGTTTATTAAAATTAAATTAAAATTAATGTGAATTTTGCAAAGAAACAGCTCGGTTATGGTAATTAAATGAATAACAAAATTAATGAATGTGGAGAAAGATACTTAAAGACTAGAAAAGTACTTACCTAAACAAAATACTTTTAGTTTATACATTAAATTCAAATAAATAAAATTGCAGAAATATGCATATAAGTAATCATGTCGTCCGCTTAATTAGAAAACAACTAAAATATATCTTTTATGTTTTTACATACAATTATATACATATATATAGTAGAACATTAAAAGATACTCAGTAATAAATTATAATTCCAATTCATTATAAAAATTTATTTATATGCGGGTACACATATTATTATTTTAGTATAGTTATATGTTAAAATAATATATTATTTCATATATTATAATAATATTAATATATAATATAGGTATTAAAATGCATATAGTATTCAAATTAATTATTTTGTTGATATGAATTAAATCTATAAATAAGTAAATAACATTTAGAAATGAGAATCTTTGATAAAATTACTTAAAAGATATTACGAACTTATTTTGTTGAACTACTACAGGCCGTAGATGGCCCCTCTCTATCTTATATCTATAGCATAATGGTTCGTTATATAATTTGAGATGAAATAGTAAAGTAGACACAAAGTGGGAAGTGTACGAAAATACTGAGAGATTGAGTCTAACTGCTATTAAGAAGAAGAAACATAATGAAACATATAAATCACATAAGGTGAATATAACTTTACGTACATGGGACAAATTATGAGAATAATTTAAGAGCATGGTACGAACAGATTAACAGTTAATTTGTGACAAGTATTTATTTAGTAAATGTCTATTGTCTGATAACAGTTAGGCCTCAGCAGGATTTGATGTATGGAGTAGTCGTTTTTCATCATTAAAAATATCAGAAGAAGTTTTGTTACGCAAGGAATTCTAATGCATAGATAATTTGATATAAATTATGCATATGTGTATATGTTTATAGTCTTCAATGGTACTTGATCTTGTTGATAAATTCATGAGCCTTTTATTGATTATGGTATCATTTGAAACGAAAATTTACCTAAGCGGTAATTCTCGGCGATAAGAAATTTCTAATCACGAAGATGTAATGTGATGCCATTAGCAACCTTAGAAAACTACTTTTTCTGAAGTAAAAAATCTATATATTACATTAAAAAGTTTATAACATATTGTAAACATAGAAAATATTGCAATGAATGCTTCATTATCGTGTTTCTAATAAAGGAATGTCTTTCTATTCTACTAAATTCACGTTTAATTTTTTTTTTGGAAACTGTTACCTAATGGTAGTCAGCCACTCTTAATATTGTAATAAACTTCAAAATTGTAAAAAAGTATTTGGTAAGGTTTGTTTGTTATATTTATCCAACAAATACTGGAATTCTGAGATATGCGTGAATCGAGTTGGTAACAGCCGGCACCTCTACTTTTCTGGATGTGTCTCATTTGATCTACACTCATTTGATGACATTGTTTTTCTAGTGAAACTTCTTTTTATAGTTTTTTAAGTATAACAATACGGTTATTATTCAATCTTTCCTACGTCGATTAAATGATTACATATTGTATTGAATAGATTTAATACTCTAATGATGCACTTGGCGATGTTGTCAACAAAAAGAGATACGTGTACATCATAGTTTCTGATATGCATGAATTTAAAAGATATTAAAACGATCTGCAAAGATCTTCAGTAAAGATCTTTAACACCAAGCCCCTGTATAACTTTTAAGATCTTGCAGTTTAAAAATGTGACTTTCGTAACATAAACATTGTGCATTGTGGAGTTTTGCTATCCAGTGTAGTAGAATATATTGTATTTATTTTTCTGAAAAATTTAACTTTAGAAGTAAATTCGTTAAAATTTATTTTTGCTGATTAAATTATTCTATTAATATAAAGGTTGTGTTATAAGATATCTGAATCCGATGAACTTGAGAACTTGAACTTGAGATAAATAATTTGTTAGCTATTAAACTACTAACTTTTTTCAACATGTATTCTAAAATTTATAAATGTGTTGTATTAAAACTTAATTAAAAATATTTTTAGTATTATATTTGCTACATGAAATTGATTAAAAAATTTATTACCCGAAAAGTATGCAAATTTTTTTTGGGTTTTTAATAATTAAAGCAACAAAATTGCGTGGCTCAGAATTCAATAAGAAAAATATTTTACTCGTCTCGCTTGTGCGAAGATTACAGTTTTGGAAAAGTATGTCAATAAATCCGTTTGAGTCATAAAGTAATTATTTAATTATTAAATACTGGAAAATATATCAAACTAGGCACTCCTCAAATACAAGTAAAATCCGTAATCATTTAAATTAGTTAACTGTTATACAAATATAGTTGTGATGCGCAACAGAATACAGAAGAAAGATCTTATGTGCATAGAAGATCATAAAATATGCAATTTTATGTCTTCAAGTTTTTTTTAAAAATGTCAAAGAGATTTAGATATGCCAAGAATCTGCACATACGCAACATCTCCCTCACATATGGAGACATATGCGAATATGCGAGACTTTTGCTGTTCTACTAGTGAATCGACAGCATCCATATAAAAAGCACTGAATATTGCAGATTCATTTCATAATTTTGTTATATTTCAAGTACGCAATGTGGGCGCACCAAACGGTAATTAATGTGAAACGGATAAATTAATTAAGTGAAAATAAAAAACCAATTTTAACTTTATAGTTTATATTGCTGTCACTCCTTGCGGTTGTGTTCGTCAACGCTCAGAACGATGGACGCTATCGTCCATTTAATCGTTTTACCACAGTCAGGCCACTAAATCTATTTCAAGGACAGTATCGGGCAGGTAATGATGGCAGATATCGTGGCGGTAATGATGGAAGATATCGCCCAGATAATGATGGTACATATCGTGCTGATAACCGTGGTTTAAATGAAGGCAGATATATACATCAAGATGTAAAATATCAACCATTCATTGATCGTATTGGTTCTGGTGCAGGTGGTAGTGGAGGTGGTGGTGGTGGTGGAAGAATTGGTGCAGGAGTTGGAAGCAGTATTGGTAGTCGTATTGGTAGTACAGTAAGCCCACCTTCACGAAATCTTGCTTTAGGTTCTGGCTTAACAGCTGCTCCACAAAACTTGCAATTATCTCAAGGAAAAGGTACAGGAGCAGGTGGTGGTGGTTGGAGAATAATACGTCAAGAAGATACTGTGAATCAAGACGGTTACCACTATCTGTAAGTTGATTAACAGTTATGTTAACAGATTTTGCCAAGTTGTTTAAATTTTATTTAAAAAAAGCTTTGATTAGAAGCTTTTCTTTTAAAAATTTTAAGCCTAAAAGTAAGCAATATTTATTTCAGTTACGAAACTGAAAACGGTATCTTAGCTGAAGAAAGTGGTCGAGTTGAAAAAATAAACGCTGAAGAGGAAGGCTTGCGTAGTACTGGCTTCTACGAATACACTGGAGATGATGGTTTGCTCTATCGTGTAGATTATGTCGCCGATGAGAATGGCTTCAGGCCTACAGGTGCACATATACCTGCACAACCGCCACATGTGGCCAAATTGTTGGCTTACTTAGCAGCTAAAGGAGCACTTTAAAATCAAAGAAAGCAGCAGATGCATTGTTTGCAAATTTAAAAAAATTCATTTTCGATTTTTAAATTTTATTTTTTCATTATTAAAAAATTCATGTGTCTGTAATTTTACAATAAATTTAATTTATTTTGGCTTTTACAAAAGTATTATTTTATTTTCATATAAATAATCAAGTAAAAATTTACTTTTAACCAACAATTAAATAAATACTAGAAAGCAAAATATATGCTGTCAACTAATGCTGCAAAAAAAGTTATGACAGATTATGATTAATAGGGTCGTCTTAAGAAACCTATAAACCCAAATAAAAAGAAACACCGCAATTTCGATCACTGCTTTCTTTTCTGTTTTTTCTACCAATATTTTTAGTATATGTACCTAAAATCCATGACGCAAATAAAGCTTACCGCTTTTAAAAACTAATTACGTCCTAAGGCAGTGTATGTTTTAAAGTGAGCATAGGATGGTACTCGTACCACAAAACATAGCAGTAGTGTTTTGCTACCTTTGGAACCATGATCTTAAATTTTTTGGTGTTATCTTATGCAAATCTACGAAGAATTTGGCTAAAACACTGGATCATTATATCTTTTGTTGTTTGGTAGTTCCATAGTTGGGAATCATAAGTCGGAGTTAGGTAGTATTGAATGAGATGTTTCTTTTATGTTTTGTAAATAAAATTTTCTACCGTCACCATTATCTAAGTGGTGGAATTCAGAGAGATCAAAGACTGAACCCCTAATTAGAAACGAATTAGCTATGATGTTAGAAATCAAATAGATGTCATTTCCGCAATCCAAGAGATTATTATAATAATAATATTATAATCAAGGTATTATATTACAATTTTTGTATTAGTGGATCACCATTAAAACATGTGCGTACAAATAAAATCATGTTACCAAATTTACTAATTTCGGAGGGATACTTGTACTCTTGTTTTTGAAAGGTTCCCGTGTGATGCTATGAAAGTGTTTCAGGAAACCCAATATATTTGAGATATAAAGACGCTTTACTTATTTATATGTTTTTAATTTAGAGTGCACATTTATAATCTTATTACACTTACAAGATTAATAACTATAAAGTGTTACAAATGTTTTATTTTAGGGTAGGTTAGGTTAAGTCATACTGGCGTTCCAAAGAGGATCCACTTAGGCCTATTGACCTTTTGTGCTATCTTATAATGAAGAAACTCAGGGTTTAAAACCACTTGGAACCTTTGACGAAGCTTAAAATGCTTAGTGGGAGTTTAGTGGGAGTTTTAAAATTGAACAAGATCCTCAGAGAAACGACCTCTAAAGTGTTGAGTTGGCGCCGTGAATGAATTGGGCAAAGACAAAGCAAATGTGAGGCACATTTCTTTCCCACAACTGCTACAGGTATAATTAAAGGAGAGTTTCAATCTGTGTTCTTTTATATACAGCTATTTTTGGACAATTAATCTTTACATGTCACTAAATGTAGCTACTGATAAAAATTAACAAAGCAAAATTTTACAGTTATTAATCAAATTTTTAATGTTAACTTTTGAACTTATCTTTATAAAATTATTTCAATTTTTTATCAAATTTCCATATTATTTTATCAGTTAAATTAATTTTAAGTTTTTATAATTAAATATATTGAAATATGTACGCACTAGCACTCAGTTATCACTACAACGATGGAAGTATGTAGGTTTGTATGTAATCCAAAACATCCTTTATTGCAAACTTTACTTCGGTTACCTAAAATTTCAATAAAAATAATATAATTTCATGCAGATTTTTATTTAATTTTAAAACTTACATTCTCCAACTCCTGCCCATTCTCATCTAAGTAAGTCACATTATATATATTTTTATCAAACTCTCCATTAACTTGTAGTTTTGCATTTGCATCTTGTAATACTCTATCGAGAACTTTAGACTTCTTGTCCTGTGAACTGGGATCGTTATCACTTCCATACTGTCCCTTACCTTCATTAACTGACCACAACTGATTCTCACTCAAGTAATTATAGTTCACGTCTTCATCACCATCACGCACCCATTCAAATTCAATCACTTGCCAGCCAGTACCGTTGTAATTAAAATCAATTGAAAAACGTAAATGATCGTTTGGACCAAGTACTAAACCAGAGGGATTCTCACTTAGGTCGTAACCGTCAGCATGAACGTATTTTAGTCCACGATCGCCGTAACCACCATTGTAAGGTATGTGTATATGATGATATTTGCCTCTAAAGTCAGGCTTGTATTTGCCCTGAGTATTGTCAATGTCTTCCGGCGTGTATCGCCCATTGCGGTGTATTCTCTTTACATATCCTTCAGGCACTTGTGCATATGTAAAGGAAACTCGCAATAAAGCAATTAAAAGTAACATTAATGGCAGTATGAATTTTACTAACAATTTTGCGTACATTGCTGCGCTGTGTACCGACACCTACACCCGATTGAAGCGTTGATTAGAAAAAACTGACACTTTGACCGTTCAGAATCTATTTTGCAATTGATACTCGACACGAAGTCAGAGCCTGTTTATAATTAGAAGTAATGTGCGTCAGTTTGTGGTAACCTCGTAATCAGTTATGCAAATATATTAGCAACTTTATTGGGAAGCTTGGCTACGACTAACTTGATTAAGTTGTAGAATTCAATATTAAATATTTCAAATTTTCTAGTATGAGTTATGGATCTTCAATTGACAGAGTTTAATAATATTGGCATGAGGTAGAACATTACAATAAACGATTATATGTGGAAGAATGAATAATATTTACTGAAGTGGAAAAAACTTTTAATGAATCATTATGCAGTTAGAAGATTGCTCTTCTTAAGAAACATTCTTACTAAACACTAGAGAAATTTATAACCCAGTTATGTAAAATTTTCAACTTAAAAATATGATAACATTTCAATATTTCTTGTATTTTCAAAGTAAATTTAGAAATTGTTTTGACTAAGTCGATCCATTTCGGTTTATTTTTTAATTGGAAAGCCATAATTAATATAATTAATATAAAAACTAATAAATAAACAAGATATAATTTTATACATATATAGATGGTAAGCAACCTTCAGTACTTCTGCTATTATTTGCCATTAAAAGAATTTATATCAAGGGTTTCCTTCGGAATTTTTATGCATAATGAAATATATGTTCGTATTGTATTACTCGTTTTTGATGCTGTTAGCTGTCACTTTCACTACTTTTAAATTTCGTTTGATGCTAATAAACTGTGTTTTGCATGTTGTGGCCATAAAATGATAAACAAAAAAGTTAACGTAATTGACAAATAAGAATCAAAAATTCTGAAAAAAATTTTAGAAATTAGTAATCTTCGCTTTTGCAGACGTGAGTCGTCCTTGGCCACATTCGATAGCCTCAGCCAGCCAGCCCGATCAGTGCCTTGCTGTCGCTTTTCTCCCATTCGCACAATATGTCCAAGCCAGCACAGACGCTGAATTTGTATGCGCTTAATTATGTCAATGTCACGAATAGCTCATAGAGTTCAACGTTCCATCTAATTCGAAACTGACGCGTAAGGGACCATAGATCTTCCGAAGGTTTGTTTTTAATTGTTAAAGCAAAATTACTGAATGGGTTATTAACTTTAAACGAAACACTGAAATACAATTATCGTATTAAAAGTTGAAATGAAGAATGAGTGTTTTTTTATGAAATTGTTTCAAAATTTAAAAATTGGAATATGGTCGTATGATTGAAGTACAATAGAATGTAGAACATGGACCTTCATATATCACTTTTGTAATGGTATCGTGTAATTCCATACGATCTTTATTTTAAAAGTTTACAGATTCGTTTATCTGAGATTGAGAACTAGCTAATGACACTTATTTAACTTTGCTACATAACAAATATTATAATCATTGCAATAGTTACCTTATAATGATATAGCTTAATGATATAGCACCATATCTGTACCCACCTCATGTTGAAATCAAGGGTTATATTGAAAATTCTATTACAGTAGTTGCTTCAATAATATTATATACAATAATTCGTTTTTCAACACTGTTAGAAATGAATAGCAAGTGTGTTAGATAATCACGATGTAGAAGAAGAAAAAGAAGACGGAGCTGGATATGGCGAAATTACTTAACTAGCAAAATTTATTTATGCCTCTGCGTACTAAACACGTCAACGAGTAATAAATTAAATTAGTAATTTTAATTAAAAGCTAATATATGACTAATAATTTTTATTACTGTTGAGAATTTCTATTTAATTTAATCAGTTCAGAATAAAAAATATAATTAAAATTATATTTAGGAAAAAACAGTGAAATTTAGTTCAAAAATTTATCGTTCATATGGAAGGTCATTCAGTAAGACTCAGTAAAATTTAATTGTTGAAATTTAGTACTGAAGTGGGTGGGGCACAGAATCTTTGGCTAATAAATTGAAATTTTATAATGCCAGAGTATTTGAACTCATTAATAAATTTGAAGTATAATAATTTTGAGAAATATTTTATATTTTTATTTCTTATTTAAATATTGTTGACATATATTAAGCAATTATTTTCGCTTAATAACACATTTTTGACTTACACAATGTAGGCTGATTTTTATTGAATAATTGTTGTTTAATACTTTTGTAATAATTTTAAAATTTAATGAATTTTGAATTTATTATTGAAATTTTTATTGAAAGTGCTGTGCATTGACCGACTGCTGCAATATTACAAATTCATACACATATAAAAAATATCAGAATAATAAAATTAGTTTCACAAAGAAATTTTATATTTTCATAATAAAATTAATTATCATATATAATTAATATAAACAATATATTCGAAAATTACAAATTTAATTTTTGAAACAAATCTCGACGTTGCAGTAAAATCCCTTGACTATCAACAAATAACTTAAAATGACTAACAATACCAAAAATTAAAAAAATTAATAGCAAATACGAACACAAACACAATATCACCAAAAACGAGCAAAAGTGCTAGCTAACATCACTAAACATGCAAAAAATAATTATAGAAAATTGAGCAATATTCGCATTAGTGA